ATGATTGCTGCCTGACTGTAGAATGGTGTACCCATGTCTCCTTTGTGTAAGTGGATCCCTTGGCAATAAAAAGTATATTACTGGCATTTTGTCCAGACCTCTGCAAAATATCAATGATGTGTAAAGACACCATCATATAAAAATAATTCTGCTTTACTGATTCTGAAAATAATTTATCTGACTGTGAATGTCCAAGAACAACCCAAGATTCATACCGCGTTTCCTATGACTCATTGCAGGCTGATGAAAAGTGAACTTTAGTTAAGACAAGAAACGCAAGCAGCATGAATGACAATAAAACGGTTGTATTTTTTGTGTCTGATTTTGAAATCGTTTTTAAAAAACTTCTGTCAACGTCTTTCTGGAATCCATAATTGCTAATGGTTACAAGTATCAGCCCCAGGAAAATTGCCTCGTGAGATTTTCTGCAGCAGTGAAGGTAAACAAACCAGTCACTTTCTAAACAAACATTGCTTTAATGGTTATTTAAGCCTGCAGTATACCTTGGAGCATTAGAATAATAGGATAATGCACAATATCTTCTGATTGCCGTAGCAGCACTTGAATAAAACCGATCAAATGCTTAAACATACACAGAATCAGTGTAATAGAAAATATATTACAAATGCCTGGCAAAAATATTTTTAACGAGAAAAGGATATCAGAAATTAGAGTAGCTGAATACAAGGCATCAGCAATCACTTAAAGTGAACTATTAAATTGTGTGTGAGAGAGAAGAGAGAGAAAGAACAGGAGAGAGGAAAGAGCTTGAGATTTAATCAGTATGAGTGTAAAATTCCAGAAGAAATAATTAAGCAAAGAGAAGTATTAAATTTAATTAGAATTTAGGGCAAATAAAAATATACAATGGAAAACTTTACCATATTTTAGAAGAAATGTTGGGAAGAGGGAAAATAGAAATGAAAAATAAAATGTATAAACAATCAAAATCATATGTAATTAATTATATTTTTGCAGAGCTTTGCTGTGAAGTAAAGAAATCCTCAATCTGTTCTGCAGCAAGGCAGTTTAGGTTCTGTGAGATGATTGGCAATCATTTTGAGTAACAAAGTAATTGTGGAGTAGTACTAAAATCCATTTCATTCTTAATTTGATGAACCAAAGACACTAATGGTCTTAAAATGAGAATAATAATTATTTGTAGCCATTTAAAGATAAATTTACATTAAATCAATCTAGCAGTCAGCCCTTTGATTATTTTTAAAGAATAGGAGCAATCCGAAAAAACAACATATAGATTTATCAGCTCAAAACCACGAAATAGGTTTAGACATTTGGTGACGCTAAAATGCAGTTAGATTTGCCCAATACTTAGTAGTTTTGCTCCCCTTTTGGAGGTCTTGATTTCTAGAAATTTCATAAGTATCTGAAAAACTCTGCTAACAGAGGTGCTGTGTAGGCCAATACAGAGCATGATGATTCTCACAATACTTTTTAACTTAAATTAATTAATTCTCTTCCAAGGATTTAAATAGGAGCATATATTTGGGTAAGTCTTCTTCCATGCTGATCATTTGAGAAAATGATAGCAGAAGTGAATATGAGCAGAATGAGCTTTAATTACTCTGATATGCGACTCTACATTTAAAATGATTAAATTTGGAATATGACATCAGTAAGACAAAGACAACATTAACACCTGTGAGTGGTTCAGATTGTGACATGTTGTCCATTTGCGTGTAATTCCAAAATGTGGTTGCCACAAAATAATGTGTTCACCAATATCCAAGCTTTTTAAAAAGCTGCCAGAAAATATCAAAACAATTGGTGCTCTTTGGAATGTATAGTTAACTTCCTGCTAGGAGAGGAGTCGCAGCTGCCACAGCAGCAGTGGGTTTCCAGATGTCAAGGCTGTGAGGATAGTGAGGTAATTGCAGGAAGGAAGGGATACAATTTTGTTATCACAGATTACCCTCCCCATTGAAAAGGCTAGATACAGCATCAGTGTCACTGCTTTGGATATGCATATTATGAACTGGAGGTCCTCATGCTGAAGTGTGGAGATCTGTATATTTGCTTCCATGGAGAAGGCTGGGCCAGACTTATTAAAATGTGTGGGAAACAGAGTAAATGCTCTCAAAGCTCTATCATTGGATTTATAAAGCATCTATAAGAGTTAATAAGGACAATAACCAAATAAGAAATTTTAACTGTAAATGTTCCAGTACTATAGCTCATCCACTGAATTAAGAGAAAACAAAATATTTAGATACCAATAAATTAATCAGCAAATCTGCTTAAGGCTGTCTTTGTATACTGGTGACTGGGTGGAGGGAACAGATGATGATTTTTTTCAGTATTCAACCTAGAAGAAATTCTTTCTCAACTTCCCATGCTATGCAGTCAAAAGAGTACAAGTTAGTGAAAACTCTGTTTTTCATTCAGAAGCTACAATCATGTTGCCATATTTCCACATGGGAATTTTAAAGACTACAGTATTTTGACATATTTTATTGTCAAAACCAGTACATATTTGTCCACACAAGCTAAACTGAAATTAATTGATGAAATTCAATTTAATAATTCCTTTTTTTTTCCATTGAAGGTTCTGTCTTAATGTACTGAATGTAGATACTAGTTTAAGTTTCTTTGTAAATGAATGGGATAATTGGTGCATCAGTTTCACCTAAAATAAGGCAGGATTGAGGATATTGTGAGAGTGATCAGTAGTGAACAGTTCTGGATTCATTCTACCAGCCATGAAGAGAGGGACATCTCATCTCACTCATACTAGATACACTCTCCTCCACTAAAACACTAAGCTTTTCATAGTTTTAGAGGACATTTGCCTATCACTGTTGAATTACACTGTTGAATTACACTGTTGAATTACACTGTTGAATCACTGTTGAGCTATTTATGGTCAACTAAACGGCCAAAAGTCCCATGTGCAGTTCTTACTTTGTGGCTCTCACATTCTGTAGAATTTTGAAATCAGGACTAGAACTTCATGCCTGTCTTGCTAAACCTGGCCTATTATATCTGGCTAAGGGACGCTGGATTGTACAATTTAGAGAGTACCACCTCTATCACCAACTCTTAAGGGTTCTTCCTGAAGTTGCACAGCCTTTATCGCTGCAGGTGGCCTGTCTACCTCTGAAAAATTTTTTTTAAATCATGGATAATTTGTTCACTATAGTAGATTTCCTCTAGTTTAATTAATAATATATCTTAAATTTAATAGAATCCGGTCAACGTTTAAATAAAATTATTGAATTAGTGGGGGTTTAAAATACACTGAAGTGATAACAGATGGAAGGGCAAGAGCTATTGAGTACTTTAGGGAGAGTTGAAGACTGAGAGGGTAAATTGATTAATTCTTCCCTGGCAGGTGAAATAAGAATAATTATAAGAAAATGTGAACAAAATATTGATAACGAGAATTTGCCAGTCTAGGAAAATGAACTCTGACTTTGTCGCAGGCCTTTGGAAAAAGGTTTTTAGCTAATTCAAATCCCTGTTTAGGAGTTGGTTATCAGTTTTGTTTTTCTGTTAAGGTTTCCTGTCTTTCCATGGCATGTAAAGAATCTCTCATTAAAACCAACCACTCTCATTCTTTCCCGTGGTAATGCTGATTTGGTCTATTGTAAAAAAGAAAATCCTAATTAATATAGTTTATTTTTTTTATCTACACTGCCTTTGCTATTTTAATAAAGAGAAAGTTCTCAAGTCAAATAAGATGTACCTAAAATTAAGCATGTCTATAGTACTGGGTCACCTGAGAACTTGTTAGGAACACAGGTTCTTCAGAAACTCTGAATATGAAGCCCAGCAATATGCATTTCAAAAAACCCTCCAAGTAATTCTGTCACAGCTAAAATTTGAGAAATTTTGACCTAGCAAATTTATAGTAGCTAAGTGTTTGTTCAGTAACTCAGTTGAAAGAAATAGTGACCCAGCACTTGGTTAAAGGAAATTGTGATTTCTTTTCGATTTGAACATATTCACGATAAAAATGTCTTGTCACATTTCAAATATGCTGGCAAGGATAAGTTCTCATATCCACTTTTCCTTTTTATGGCATGTCATGTTATTTGTTATCAGGGAAAGACTTCACTGTAATTTAAAAGTGCAACATACAGAAAAGAAGCATTGTTGCCCTAAGCTCTTCATAAAGGAAAAATTTGAACCATAAACATGCCACCATTTTATCATTGAGTTTCTACAACTTGGACTATAAAGCCTCCCAAGTTTAACATCTGAATTTTCATACTGCAGATTCATGGTAATATGTTCAGCAACATTACAGTTAATACCTGAAAGAAACTGATCCCACCTCTATCCTTAGTGAACAATACTGGGTCTACAAAAAAAAAAAAAATAAAAGCCAAAAACATATTTTATCATTCCTGGAACTAGATGCTTACTAAAATCTCAAATTTAAAAAATATAATAAAAAATACTGAATATTTAAATTTCAGTTCCTCCACATCACCTAGTAGAGGGTTTTAAAGTAAGTGACCTGGCGGGGTGCAGTGGCTTGACCTGTAATGCCAACACTTTTGGAGGCCAAACTAGGAGGATCACTTGAGCTCAGGATATCAAGACCAGCCTGAACAGTACAGGGAGATTTCATTTCTACAGATAATTTTTTAAAAAAATAGCTGGATGTGGTGGCACACATCTGTGGTTCTGCCTACTCTGGAGATTGAGGTAGGAGGGTCATCTGAGTGGGGGAGGTTGAGGCTGCAATGAGCTGTGATCACAGCACTGCACTCCAGCCTGGGCAACAGAGTGAGACCCAGTCCCTAAATAAATAAATAAATAAATAAAAAGAAAATAAGTGATCCTCAGGAACTTTGGGAAAAAAATCCATGTCATAAAGAATAAAGGGCAAATCAGCTCAGTCATTCCAGGCGCTCAATGAGGAAGCCAAAAATACAAACACCCACACTCATTAGATATTTATAAATATACACTGAAGGGAAACTTCCAACATTTAATAAATCTTTAACTGTTCATGTAGCTTTTTATTACAGACAAACTAAGCTACAAGTTACTGGTTTAACAATTTTCACCATTTTTGAAACAATAATAGTTCAATTCCATATAATATTTTTATTTCTATTGTGTAAAGCTTAAGATTTCATACTACCTGGATATTTCTTTTTTATTGACTTGCCTCCTAGGCTTCCAAGTGACTACTATTTTTTCCTTTCTTATGAATTTATTTCCACCAAAAGACAGACAGACAGACACACACACACACACACACGCACACACACACACACACACACATACACACACACATAGAGGCGTATTAAGTTAATAACTTCTCTACCATCTCATCATTAGTTAAAAAAATGTTGACAGTCCAAATTTTAGACATAATTAGCATGTTTATGAGCTCCATTCAATGACGATTTCCAAATTCTCTTCAGATTTTATCTTTCACTCTCACTATTTAGGGTGTTCTCCCAAGAAACCTGTGCTTTAATACATGGATAAAACCAACATTTATGGAAAAGCACAGTGAAGGCTACTGTTCTGTTAAAATCAGCTGCACGTGGAATCATTATAGTAGGGTCTTGTTTTGTTCACTGCCACAGAAAGTTACCTCTAAAAACATATTACCATATTTAACTATAATACAAAAGAAAACTTTTTCATGCCCAAAGGCAAGCATTTTACATCGATTTACTTTACTTACATTGCAAATTTTCAAACAAGGCACAAAATATGAGCCTACATTCAGTATCTCTCAGCATTCAATATGTATTGTACAGCAAATATTTCAAGAGATGAATGCACCAGTGCGATTCTTATTTTTATGTCCTGCAGAAACGTTTGCAGTATAGAGCTACTTTTAATACATAAGTTTTCTCTATGCAAATTTCCTATTAATGTTAATGCAAAGGACCAATAAAACTCATTTTGCATAAAGATAAATGAAGAAAGCAAAAATGCCTAGACAAGTAGTGTAAGCAGATTTTGTTCTCTAGAGAACATTCAGCAATATATAGGTATCACCATAGTGGGAGGGAGTCCTATTGGAATCTAGTGGAAAGCAGTCAATAATACTGATAAACATCCTCCAATGCACAGCAAATCTTCCAAGGACAAAGAATTATCTGGTCCAAAGTATCAATGGTGGCACCTGTTGAGAAATTCTGGGCCAGAGAGAAATAAAGTGTTCTCTAGGCCAATATAAATTGACCATAGTTACTATAATTTCCATGTTTCCTGCTTGAAAAATGAAAGCCTTCCATCATAGCAGTGTAACCCTGCAAGATGAATGAAATTCCCTTTTCTCATACTCAAAATCTCTACCTCCACTCTAATTCTCAACTCCTGGGGAGAGTTTTCCTTCTAAGTGCAGAAACTATGACTAATGATTACAGACAAGCATTGAATCTCCATTTATTAACTAACATTTTTTGCCCTGGCATTTTGAGTTATATGGTACATTGCCCTGTGTAAATGTTTAGCTTTGTTAATCACTTTCTTGTTTCTGAAAAGGAGGCCATTACATTATGAAATTACTGCTTCTTGTAAAAAGTAGTCATTCTACTATCTATATAATTACTCTTCCTAATAAGACTTTTATTTCTCTTTCATCTCTTTCTAAATTTTCTTTGTGATTGAAAATTAGTTGATAAAATACTAAAGCACAGTCCAATTTCTAAACAATATAAGCGTTTGATGAAAATATACCTTTTATTGTGTCTTTCGAAAACTCTTACATTAGCTCTGGAAATGTTTTCTCTAGTGCACATTATGAACTTTTTACTTATTAGCCAAAAGATATTTCTAGGGTTCCCTGGCTAAAGGTGTCACTCAAAATTTAGTATGATTTTGTAAACTAAAGACAAATGTTGCTGTGAATTTATAATTTATCTAGCAATATGAAAATAGAAATTGGGAATAATGTATTTTTGTGCAACCTGATTTCAAGTTTCATTGAGTTAGGTCCTTCAGTGCTATTTGTGGAATATAGGCAGGTGATACCCAGCTGTACTTCCTGTCTGTGATGATTCTAGGAAAGGCAGTTGGTGTGAAGCCTCATTATTTCAGCTATATTTGATTATAGATACCTTTACACCTGCAAACTCTGATGATATCTTCATATCGACTGTTACAGAGAAGTCTATAGAGTACCAAGAAAAAATATTTATGTTCATCCTCATTGTGATGATTTCCCCGTGTGTTTTTTGGCTAAGAAAATTCAAGTTTCTCTATATCAGAATTAATTATATGATAGCAGTGTATATTTTTGATATTACTATTTAAATTATGACAGCCATGGAGACAATTCAGATCTTGATGACATTCATCTGAATTTGGAGTCCATAAAATACAAATTAAGCCTGCCGACTGCCACATGATTCTGGTTTCTTTAAAAAAAAAAGATTATTTTTATTTCATTGAGATGTGTTCTCAACATTTTGAGACTGAAACATATGATCTGAAAAAATAACAGTTAGCTCTTAATTGTGGAAATAGAAAACACCTCAAGTATTGTTATTTCATCAAAATGTTCATCTTTGCCTGAAGAGATGACCATATTTTAAACATCTGAATCAAAATACGCTTATAATTAGAAAGCTAATAAAATTATATTTCCTAAATACATCTAAGACTTGCATTGCTAATCTTAAGACAGTCTTGAAGGCTTTTGGAGCAATGACTTTTTGCTTTTTTAGTTTTCAAAAATCCTCATTTTCAATAACATCACCACACACATTTTTGTATGGTATTTAAAATATTAATCTGAGTGCTTATTTCCTTTAAAATTACTTTATTTCTTTAGAAAACTAGAAAGCCAGTTTAGGGGTATAATTTAAAGTTTAAAAGCCTTGCTTAACAAAAATATTTACTGGTGTATTTAATATGTTGGTTTTAAAAATATTATGTCTATTATACATTCAAGAACAAACTATATTTCTGTAGAATAAAGCTGATTGCCTCCAGTAATAGAATCTAGCTGTTTATTGGCAATGCTTTTCCTCCCCACCTCACCACTGCCAATTTTTATGGGAATCCTTAGAAATGAGAAGATGAGATTTTTTTTTCCTTCATTTTTTTTAAAAGAATACAAAGCTGATAATAGAAAACAAAACCTTCTGATCTCCAGCAAAACTGATGAAATAGCTTACCTTCTTTTCTTCTGGGTAATCCCTTTGTTCTGGTTAAAACTACAGAACTGTAAGTAATAAATAACTGGAATGCAAAAAAAAAGTGAAATAGGGATTGTACTGGTATCCAAAAATAATATTTATTTATGTACAGAATTTGGCTGGTTTATATATGTTATACATATACAGAAGTCAGAAGATTTATTTACCATCAAAGTAAGTTTTGCTATGTGAATAACACACTCAGGCAATTCAATACATATTCTTGCCTATGTTAAATGATGGATGGTTATATTTTACTGTGTATATGTTTTGACGATTATATTTCTTCTCAAACAGTCCTAACCAGTTTCTGAGAAAGTATTTTCTTGTCTAAATATATGGAAAACTATAATTAAGCCAATAGCACTTAGAGACAAGCTGAATGGCTTAGGACAGATTATTTTTTGTGCTTCATTTTCTTCATCTGAATATGAGGGTTGTATTATACAGTTTCTATATTTTCTACAAGCTCTGGGATTCTGTTAATTCTAATGAAAAATAAGAATAAAGACAAATTATAAATTGAATTCTCAAGATCCCAGTGAATATCACGCAAATTAGACAGGTACGTAAATTTATCATTTTATTGGTGTCCCCGATTCTATCAAAATTCATGCCTCAAATTACTTCATCTACAAATGTTCCTGACACACGTAGAACACAACATGTTCAAAAATGAACTAGTGGATTGGACAGGCCCTTCTGGGATGCACTGCCTCCTTTCTAAACTTAATCTGATTCCTGGGGACATCCAGCACGGAACAGTAGCCAGAGGCCAAGAAACTACAGTTAAAACAAAAGGGTAGGGAAAGAGGAATGAGAAGGAAGGTAAAATACGGAATGGTCAAAGAGATCAAATCAAGTGGAAAGTGTGGGGACACAGGAACGGAGCGAGGAATAGAAACTAACTGGGAAATGGATCCAGCAAGGGATCACCTACAGCACATCTTCAAAACTGGGGCCTGAGTCACTGTCAGATGCAGAGGTGTCTTCCTCCCAGACTCTGAGCTCCAGTAGCCACATCTTTAAATTGCCTGACTCCAATAGCTGATGTGGTTGCCACCACGAGAATAGAAATTATAGCTTTCAACCCTTCATTTTATCCGTCTTACCTATAATCCTCTAGTTCCAGTCTGTCTGACCACTTGACGAAGGTTTTCTCGGTTTTTGTTTTGTTTTGCTTCGTTTTTAACATTAGCTCAGCACTGGGGGAACACTTGAATATGTTTTACACACAGAGAACAGTAGACAGCCCTGGAAACCCTTGATGAGAAAAGATATATCCTGCTGGGAACATAAAATGGCACGCAGGGCACACACTAATGATTCTTGTAATTGAGATTGTCATGTGTCTTATTAAAAGCCATCATTTACCTGGAGGTCTTTTTTGAAAAAAATGCAAAGATGCTTTACAGATTTTACTTAAGAATGCTTCTCAAAGCCTTACTGATCTATTTTCATACGTATGTTGTTTAGTGAGGTCCTTCAAAGGGCTTCAAGGTTTACTTTTATATTTAAAAAGAGTGAAGATGAAAGCTATTATTTAAATACAGCATTGCATTCAGTGGCACCAAGATGCTTATTACAAGTGCTCTGATGAGACAGTCGAAGCGTCTCATGGAAGCCAGTCCCCTCTAATGTGTGTTTTGGTGTCCTGTCTGCTGGTTCGCCTAAGTGATGTGGCATACGTTTGATGAAAGGAGAGTAAATGACATCAATCATAAAAGACATCTACTAATGAGAGGAAGAAGAGGAAGAGAGAGAGATTGAAAAAAAGAAGAAGAAATTCTCTGCAATGGAAAGAGCAAAGCACTTTGACAGAACTAAAAGAAATGACGTACCTCAATCATGCCCTAATTTTAGGGCATGACCAACCAAGCTCCTCACTCTTCTTTGGAAACATGACATGCTTCTTCAACTTCTGTACAATTGTCATTGAAGATTTAAATCAATCTGCCTTCAGTTTCCATCATTCATTGTGGGTAATTTTGCCAGGATCTCTGTACAAAACAAAACAAAACAAAAAGGCCATGCTGAGCAAATTAGCTGAAATTTATTTTTATCCTTTTATGGGGATGTTTTCCAGTTCAACAATCCATAGGGATCTGCCAACTTTTCACATTATAAATTTTCTCCTTTTTAGGGCTACTAATTTGGTCGCAGAAAACATTGTTTTCTGTTTTGTGTTTTTTCTCTCTATAAATAAGCTTTGTCAAAGAACCAGAGATTAGTGAGAAGATAAACTAGTTTTGGATATTTCTGGCATACTCATTGAATATAAGGTCTACTTTTTCTCTCAATGCATTTCCCATGAGTAAAAACATTTAAAACATTACATTAAATATGAACATAATTATTAATAAAATCCTAGATTTTATTCTCAAACATCTTATATAAATATATTTGCTTTTTAATCATCCAATATCTCTAAAGAGACTAATTTTTCTACCTAATAATAATGATACAACTTTATTTTAATATCCTTCTTCTAGTATCTTAGTAAATTTTCAAATAAGAAAATATTAAAAGTGATTAAGCAGTGTGATTTTTTTTCCCCTTCAATTAGGTTAAACAAAGACAAACAAATTTGTGTCTTTTCTCTTCCAGATTGAAGTATAGAATCCTGATATTTTGTTTAAAAAAATACTGTAAGAGACTGCTTAGAATTTGTGTTTGATGACCTTCTTAGGTTAGTGATTACATATTCTCTCTTTAAGAATGTGTTTCTATTGCTTACATTTCAGAGGACTATCAGTATTTTCTTGAACATTTTCTATATTACAATATGTTTTCTTCCCATGATATTCTGTGTTGAAAGCTCTAGGGACGGCTGAGGAAGCTCAGCTGAAGAGGTGTGAGTGACCCTGTTGGCTGAAACTGCATGAGAGTGTGTTGAACAGCTTCACATGTCATCCACTGCTATTCTTGCCTTCCAAGGCAGCGGCAGTGAGCTTGGCAGTGTGGGAAGGGGCATAATCTTGCCCGAATTTTCTGGCTGGATTTCTGGGTCACTCTGGTTTACACTGGCTCACTCAGCTATTATGTGTACATAAACTTAGTAGTGAAATGGCTAACAAAGGAAGGGTGAGTTAACATCAAACAATCATATAAATTAAATATAAATAAATAAAGCAGATATACTTTAAGGAATTAAAAGTCACAGAGTATCAGATTTGATTTTATGGCATGTGAAACATTCTGAAAAGTGAACAAATACACTAATCAACTGGTCTCTGGTATAGTGATTACATAGCTTTGGACTGATTTATTTTACTGAATTAACCAGGGACTTCCTGTACTAATTAATACGCTGAACTGAAGCTTAAAGGTTTTAAATGACAGCAAAAGTTTTGCACACTCCAACTCCACATATTAGCATTTTGTAGTCAGTGCCGGCTTTGTAGATTTAGCCCCAATTTTCTTCAGTGGGCAAAATTCTTCATGTTATAGATAGGGAAACTGAGGCTTGAAAATGCACTAAGATTACAGAGCAGCTGAATAGGGCTAAAAAGTCCAAATTTCCAAACCAGTGCTCCCATTTGATAAACAAATAGATGAATACTCACTTACATTATTTAATATCTCATATGAAATATTGGTTTTATTAATTAATGTTTTAAATACCTTGTTTAAACACTCTACAGTATTCTTCTTAGGTTGGAAATGATAGTGAAAATGTATCCTGACATGAATATGGCTCTGAGATTTAAAGGGTTTGTATAAAACATTTAACAGACATAGGATTTACCTAATATTCTCTTTCCTTTCAATTTCCTTTCAATTATCTCTCATTAGATTATAAAGGAATTTCTTAGTCTCTTTTCTCTGTCTGATCCTCTTATTGACCAAAGAAATTTAAGAAATTCAGGAGCTTGGAAAGGGATGAGAGAGAACCAAGTGTGTTTTCAATTTTTTAAAGAATTGTTATAAAACTTTCTTTTTAAATTAAAACATCCCCAGTGCAATTTCTTGGTCTACGACTCCTGACAGCTACTATTAATTACACTTTCACCTGTTAAGAATCTAACACTTTCTAAAACATATTAAGCCAAGTTTTCTGTAAGTATTTAGCCTATCTGTTAAGAACAGAATGATAGGGAATGAATTTGGGTGACTATGTAAGCAGGCAGGAAAAAAAGCGTAATCTTCCTAGTAAATGACAAACTTTCTTTGTCTCCCAGTCCTAGCCTTTGTACCTACACACTGCCTGGTGCGGTGTGGAGGCCGACCATACGGCCTGCACTGTTAGATGCCAGAAGAAGGGACTGCAGAAGCCAAGGCCCTGGGCACACAAGCTAAAACTTGCATGCTTGGCAAGGCTCAGATGCCAACGTTTGAATCTCTAATAAACCACTCGCTGCCTCTCCAGTAATGATACCCTGGGGCTGCTGGGAGGGGATTCTTTTTATAGGAAACATACTCATAAGGATTTAATATTATCTTTCAGAACCCTCTGATTTAATGGTTTATTTAAAAAAAAAAAAACTTCTCCCCTTTATTTTGTAGACCCTATGATGTGAGGCAGTGCTAATTCCTAATCCAACAGTAGTATATAATCAACATCTCTCGACTGGGCTCAAGATTCCTTTTCCTTTTTAGCCGTGTGCTTAAAAAAATAAAATATCTTGCCACTGAATGTCTTTTTACAGACTGAAAAGACTTTTAGGTTAAACAACATTTGTTAGGCTTTGATGCAATCAAATGCAATTTCAATCTTGAATTATTCAGCCCTGCCTCTCTGAAATTGCACATATGTGTCAGCTTTCAATTTTTCTCACTAGTGTTTTACACATGAAATCTATTTTCACTGAGAAAATGGAATCTTTGTGTCTTTGTCTGTAGGAGCGCTGCTTTCAGGCATGTTCTGGCAGGGGCTTTGACTGTCTAGGCACTGGGGGAGGGGCCTGGCAGTCATTTGTCAGCTTTTCTTGCATCTGTAATTTCTGGCCACTCAGCAGTATTAGAAGGTCTTAGAATGGGGTGAGCAGGGTGTGGGGAAGAGCTTGTCATTGATGAAAGCAAACCCCGAATAACTGCCCAATGTTAATGACCAAAGAGAGAAGGGAGAGTCTGAAAAACTTTTATTGTGCTTTAATGAAAAAGATTTTTTGGAAATGGCTAATTTACAAAATTGCACATAGTAACATTTTCAGATCTCAGTTTAGAAAGCCCCTGTCCATATTGTGTTACTGATTTCATTGCTTTTAGCTTGGCAAGGGCTCATGAAACTATTTTAATTTTCCACCAGTGGCTTCTGGTTATTTCTGCTCTTATTTCCTCGTAACAAAACTGACAGCCCAATTAAACATCTGCATTTTTTAATCTGAATTTCCCCCATAACTATTTTGCTTTTCTTCTAAAACTTCCAGATGTTTTGGTTCCTTTATGATTTTAATACATGCAAGTATATTTGTTACCATTTCAAAGAGAGAGAGAGAGACAGTGCTAGAGGGACTGACCAGATGTTTCCATATGAAAAGCTTTGTAATACACCAATAATCGGGTCAGTATTTTTGTCTTTTTATGAGTATATTTACATTAGAATACATCTCATTGTCTTTCAGCACTTTACAATTTGTGTTGATCTATGCAACTTATTTTTGTGGGCCATTAGATTTCAGGATTCACATTGTAATCTGTTCATTAATTCTTGTGACAAATGAAGAAAGTAACCAATGTTGTTACTCAGTATCTAGTAACAGGGATAGAAGCTGCTGTGATTTGTTTCTTATTATTTGCCTTGTTTTTTCTTATGGGAGATAAGAAGTTGTAAGTTACGTGAAGCAACAATGTATTTAAATTCAGTTTCCAGATTTGCACAAACATTGACGGAATCATCATTATCTTGCCTTGAAGTGCCTGGACAAGAGTTAAGAGTCTCTTCTATATTTCAGGAAAACCTGTTTCCCATAATTAATAACAGGAAGTCTAGTAAACAGACTTTTGCTGACAAATGAAACTGAAACAGTAACATATACACAGAAACATGGGAAAAGAAAACAATGCAACATTGTATGCTTATTCCAGAAGAGTAGCTCAGTTCAGATATACTCATGCAATACTCACATAAAAACCCAAAGTAAAGGATTATTAATTATATATTTCTGACCATTTAAACACCTGCTAGCAGAGTACATTCACTTGTCCTCCTACTACTTAGTATTTGAAAGTGATCTCTGGCTATTTAGGCATTTAACATTTAGGCAGAAAATCATTATTTCCTGGAACATAGATTTTCCAGATTATCAAGTAAACATGAAGAAAGACAACTGTAAAAAAAAAAATTATTATAAAAGTTTAAAAGTCCATTCTTGCTACATATTCCTGGAAATGGGAACACATAATAAGGTAACTTTGGTGTAAGTTTTTCGGTTTTTTTTTTTTTTTTTGGTGTGAGAGAGGAACGTATATCCAACGTGGGGAGGGTATATATTTATGAAGTCTCAGGCACACTAAGCCCAACAGTCACTAATTAGACAGTTCACTGTGCAACTTGACCCACTCGTGCTTAAAGCTCTGGACAACGCTTCCACTGGTAGTAATTCGTCTTTATCTTCCAATTGTAGCATAGAATGGGAACTCTCTGATCCCAATATTGATCTTGAAAGTAGCAAACTGAAGTTATATGTGGTGTCCCTGCTTAGAAACATTGAGTTTGGGTTTAAAATTTAGTTTTTTTGGTTTGTTTTTAAAAAAAATGGAATCAGCTGTTTAATTTACAGTTAACTATTAGGAATGAACTGCTTGATTCTTAAGTGATTTTTTTTAAAAATTACATATTAAAGGTAATTATGTGAGAATGGTTAGATGTTAAAAAAAGCTTAATCAGATATTTATTTCTGTTTAAGATGAATAAGAGAATAAGCCATGAAGGGGAAAATAAGGAAATGCTTTTGTGTTATGCTGTGTTATACTGCACATTAAAGGATGTATTTTGACCATTCAAGAGTAATAGAAAGACCTCAACTGTGTTACAAACGTAGAATTACTTGCCTTCCTT